TCCATCGATGCACAATATGATGTTTATGGATGCATAACACAATATTTATAAATTCTCAATACAATATCCATGTGTGTCCATGCATAAACATGTAGTTGAAAATGCATAAATATTGTGTTATGCATTTATGAATATTGTTTTGTATATTGTGTGTGTTACTTATACATTTTATTAAACCGACTGATTAATTACACACACATGGATATTGTATTGTGCATCGATGAACATTGTATTTTGCATGATTTGAGTTTTCAAATCACATAAGAGCAAAATTGTACTTTCACTCCTAAAAAAATTGCAACAAAGGTTCTTGAGCCTGCAGTGCAATAACAGAATATATTGGGCTTGCAATGTAATTTTTTCCTTTTTTGAGGCTTGGAGTGCGACTCCCCTAAATTTATATCTATAGAGTAGTCTATAATAATATTTAAAACTTTAGAGGCATATAATTGGCAAAATAGCAGGGCTCTTATGGAATAATTTATAATATGAAAGATTTAAAGCATTCTAAAATTAAATGAAGGGCCAACCAAGAAATCTTGGATAAATTTATCCTCTAACTCCTTTCTAAAGTTGACTATTGTTGATCACGTTGACATTGTTGTAACCCTAGCGACGATGATTAGGTTATTTGTAACAATGCTTTGGTGGCAGTGACCAATGATATTTAAAAAAAAAACAGGTGCATTTGGTTAATTAACTCAAAGAACTGAATTACATTTATGTTATGTTTGGATGCATATAGATTTGAATATAGATTTGAGTCAAATCTATTGTTTGAGTAATTAAAAATAGGGAGAATGACAGATAGGTCCTAAAAGGATTAATTAATTCAAGTTGGGTCTTAAGTGTCAAATTTCAGAAATTTACAACTCAATTTCTCAATTTTGCATTTCTTAATTTCTTCTATTAAAATTTGAATTACAAGTTGTAAATTTTGTCACAGTATAATTGCAAAATTGAGATATAGACTTGCAAATTTTTGAAGTTTGGCATTAAGAACCTAACTTGAATTAATTAATCCTTTTGTGACTTCTTTGTCATTCTTCCTTGAAAATATGCGAATTTAGATTTTGCCATAATCTAAATCCAAATCCTGTATCAATCTCTCTGTAATTTAAAATTCTTTCTAAACTTTTATTATTTTAAATTTTAATGAAAGCTTCTCTCTTCCATTACATTTGTTTGTTGACTTTACTACCTTCTTGACTTTAACACCTCTACCATTAGCCGACATCCATCGGGACAACAAGCAATGACTAGGACTAGATTGTTGGCAACAATTGAGACTAGATCATTAACGTCTACTAAGACCTGACGGCTAACGTTGACAAGGATTGGATTGTTAGCGCATACTATGGTTAGACTGCCGACTTTGACTTGGATTGCACGGACAACACCAATCGAACCAGACTGTCGATGTTGAATGGGATCAGATTGCTATCTAGATTGTCGACACCAACTGAGATCATAGCTCCGACCTAAACGGGAATGTTGGCTTTGGCTAGGATCAAACAGCCATAGGGGATTAGGATCGGATGGCCTGCTTTGACCAAGACCAAATGGCCAGTTGTGACAGAGAATAGACCACTGGCTTCGATTAGGATTGGATGGTTGATGCTGATTAGGTCTGGATGGCTAGCTTTGACCAAGATAGGATGACTGGCACTGGATGCTAGGGGGTTGGGATTGAACTACCAGCATTGATAGGGATTGAATAGCTTGTGCCAATCTAGATTAGACCGTTGGTGTAACATCCCAAAAATTAACCTAAGGTTAATTAAGTTAATTTAGAGCAAATGAGTAATTTTGGAGGAATATTTAGATATAAATAATTTTAGTTAGAAGATTATTATTGAATTTAATTTAGATTAAAATCCTAAGTTATGATTTTATAGTAAATAGAAATAGTAATGATAATATTATAAAAAGAAAAAAGAAAGAAAGAAGAAGGAAAAGGAGCATAAAAAATGAAATAAAATAAAATAAATACTTAGGTGTTAGAGTATGAGTGAAAATTGTGTTAATAATATTATTGACACATTGGAATATGATCAATTGTAGATTAATTTTCTTTTGACACCATTCAAGCTTTGGAAGGCTTTGGAAGTGTTGTAACTTGAGGGGGTAACCTTTAACCTCTCAAAGGTTGAGGTAACTGGAAAAAATTTATTTTATGCAGTTGTATATTAATTAATTAATTATGTTGGTGAAACAAAAGAATATATATATATATTATATATATATCTAAATTTTAAAATGGTTGTTTGTAATATATGTGGCTTGGTTGAAACTCTATGATTTGTGACCAAGTTAATTGTGACTTGGTGTGAGTAAGCAGATTGATGGTTGATGATGATGTGTACATCCTTGATTATAAATTGTGAATTATGCACAGTGATGAATTTTTGTGTATGAGCATGTTAAGTTTTATATGATGCAAATGTGGTTTCATATGATAATATAAAAATTGATGCAATAGACATGATTGAAATATGATGATTCTTAATGTTTGTTAAGTAAGAGAGTTGATGAGCATATGGGATAATTGTAAATTATATATATGAGCTTTTGAAATGCATTTTCTCATGAGTATGATCATATGATGGGAGTTTGCCTTACTGAAGGAGTTAGCGGTTATGCAAAATCCACATAGTACTTGGCTATTAACCAATAATCCTAAGGGTTATAGCTACTACTTACCTTGTAAGGTACTATAGCATTGTTCCTATTAAGGAACTTGACCCTACTGGCCTACCTAGAGTTTTGGGTAGAGTTAGATTTGGGTATGACACCCCATAGTGTGTGATTTGAGGAAAATCATGTTCATAAGTGAGTAAGGTAATCCTGACCCGATAGCCCCTCATGATATGATTAAGGCCTTGGATAGTCTCATCACATGGATGATCCCTTTTGGTTGTTGACCCACGGATTTCATGTCAGAGGAAATAAGGGGGGATATAAGGGATAGATTGATCATGCATATTATTATTATCATGCCATTTGAGTGGTTGATGGCTATGTTGAGAATATGATTATAATTGTAAAAATGAGAACATGTAGTAATTATGCAAATAATGTATATGTTGCCATTTGTGTAAATTTTGTACTTGACTTTATTCTTGAAATTATTCACATGAGTTGAATGTTAATGTGATTAACATGTTATTAATGTGATTGTTTGTATGGTTACCTTAATAAATTTATTGGCCACTTACATTTATGAATAATTATCATACATTTGTATAACTTAGATGTACCTTGGTTACTGAGTTGTTGTATTCACCCCTCTTTTTTAACATATTACAGGAGTTAGCTCATCTCAGAAGAACAGAGGAAAGGAGTAATAGGCCAAGTAATAGTAATCACTTCTGTAGGCCTTTTTCTTTTTATTTTGATATGTGTATTTAGTTTATGATATTGCCAACTAAGATAATATATTCTTGATTCACTTGCATTATAGGTTTTGTGTTGGGAAAATGTATTTTAAGTCCTGGGGAATGTGGTTTGATGCTTGTACTATATTAACGGGTTAAAATATTTGTGCAAGTGGAAATAGTTATTATCTACTTAATTTGAGAACTTGAATGTTGTTATGGTCTCCCCTTATGTTTTTGATGTTCAAGGGTGAGCAGTTCATATTAATTATATGTGAATGAAAAGAAAAATTCATGCATATGATGGGCTATTGATGAATAGATGATATATAAGGTATGATGATTAGGTAATAGTCATTGTGATAAATGTGATTGAGACCTCAGCCCCCCTCTGCCAATTATGGAAGGGTTTGAGTAGTCAAGTGTTATGTTGTAAATATGTGTATATGTATTTTGGAGTAAGGCATAGAGAGAAAATAAAGGGGGAAGCTCTTCTCCCATGTCGATGTGTTTTCTTTATCGTGCTTTCGTATATGTCTAATTGAATGATATGAGTTCTTAAAATATTTTAAAGACTTGGGTTCCCTTTATATTGAATCGTTTGTGAAAATACATGTTAAGAATTTATTTAGGTTAATCTTTTATAGGATAATTCGTTTAGAGTAGTCCTTGATTTACTATAGTCAGTTTGATGATTAAGTCTTAATTTAGGACACCCTTTACAGTTGGCGATGATTAGAATTGAACTACCATAATGACTAGGATTAGATCATCGACTTCGACTAGGATCGAGGTAGACTGGGACTGGATGACTAACACCTATTATGATTGGACAGCTAGCTTTGACCAGGATGGGACCTTTGGTGACATTGATTGGGACCGCCCTCTTCTTCCTCTAAATGCCAGTTCGTCATTGTCGGCGTCATTCAATGCTAGTCTAGTTTCATCTAACTTATGTTGATTTGCCACCACCACCATCTAGAACCGGTTTGTGAACATCGTCTTTAATTCGTCCGTCTTTTATTGTCCAACGCCATATGTCGTTGTTAATAGAAAATGTTTTGGTGTCGTCATCTAAGTTCAATTCATAGCCCTTGGACTGGCGTTATTGTCCCTTGCTAATCCTTAGGCATTATTTGGGATCGAATTACTAATGTTGACACGGATTGGACTATCGCTATCGATCGAGATTGGACAATTGATGTCATTCAGGTTTGGATAGCAAGAGTTGATTGAGACTAGGTTGCCACCCTTGATTGGGATTGGACCGCTAACTTTGATTAGGATTACATTGCTAATATCGTTTAAGTTGCCTTTAAATTCAAATATAGAATTTAAAATTTAGAATTTTATTTAAGACCAAAACAAAGTATTTTAATATTATAATTTAAAATTTTTTATATCATTCAAATAAAGAAGTTAATGGCAAATTCAAATATAAGATTTTAAATATATGATTTCAAATCCACTCATCCAATCAGAACCTTAAGGATTTTGGGTCTTTCTGGAAATTTTAAAATAATTTGGATCATTCAGGCTATAAATTATCTTCCAGGGCCCTGAATGTTATTCTCCCTATATAATTTCTTTCTTTTCTTTTTTAAAAAGTTAAGGACTCGATCGATCGTGAATTTGAGCATAGACAATGCCCACTCGAGTCTAGACCTCTTCTCAAAGCACTTCTCCGTCGCCACTCTCACTCCCAGTTCGCTGTTGATTGCTGATATTAAAGCCCTCAAGTGTCCCCGTCGACGGTCAGCTGGAGTATTGTACTCTAACTAGATCTCGACGGAAGTTACCGATCGGAGACGGAGCCTTTCACCCACTTTCAGCCTTCTCGTTTGCACTGGTATGTGCATTTTTCTGTATTGTTTTAGTCTTTCAATATTATTAGATCTAAATGGTCTCTTCTGCAAGTTCCCTCTCTGTTTTAACTATGTTTCTGTTTTTAGATTGATTGATTACATGCAACGCAAAATTTTGGGCTCGCTTGCTTATTCATTATTTCGCTAACCCAAATTAGAAGGCTGTGTTGGTATCCTCTGATTGCAGACTTTAAGGATGGTGCTAAACGAACCAATTTTTTTTGGAAATTTGATACACTTTTAGATATATGTATATCTGGCTTTTAATACCAAATAGGCAAATACTTTGTGACATTTGCCCCCGAGAATGGTGGGTTCGGTCATGCTTGCACTAGGCTTTAGACATGTCTGCAACCACTTCAGGCTTAGTTTTCTTAATTGTAGTGCTTTAGATTTATTGTTATTATTTTTTTGGGTGGGGATCGGGTATCATTGTATTGTGTGGCCCATGAGCAGTGCATGATACCAAATGTTTCAGATTTGGATTCTATACAAATATGGATCTTTTAAAGCTTCTAAAGATGAATAAAATAGAGAGAAAAAGAGTGGGTGACACTGAAAAGAGAGGGGTTGGACCATGCGCACTATTTTTTGTGTCAAACGCATTCTTATTTTAGATGTATTTTACAAGCGTCATATTTTAGACGATTGACAGTCCAATATTTTTGGCTATTTGAGTATTTCCTGTGTATCATAGATTTTAAACATTGGGTAATTCTGGATTCAGATGTTAGAAATGTTGTTGGGCATCTGACTTAGGTAGAGTTGATATCCACCCATTGCCTTTCCCACACCTAACCTGCATGATTTGTTTGAGAGTGAACCCCTATGAATGAGTTTTAATTGCTGTTCTTCCGCAACAGAACCATGGGAATTGAGGAAAGATGGTGTGTGGTAACTGGAGGACGGGGCTTTGCTGCTCGGCATTTGGTTGAAATGCTACTCCAATACAATACTTACTCTGTTCGGATCAGTGATTTGGGAGCTAACATTGAACTTGAGCCAGCTGAAGAATCAGGAATTCTTGGTGAAGCTTTACGCTCGGGTCGTGCCCAGTACATGACTTTAGATCTTCGTAACAAGGCCCAAGTACTTAAAGGTACCTCTTTTTCTCCTTTGGTTATGGTTGCTTAACTTCTATTGCAACTAAAAAGTAAAAATGTGAAGGAGGATATTTGGGTTCTGCGTAACTGCTATTTTGTCACTGCAGTATGTGAAGGAGCTGAGGTTGTGTTCCATATGGCTGCTCCAAACTCTTCCATTAACAATTTTCTGCTTCATCATTCAGTCAATGTTGAAGGTAAATGGCTGTTCTTCTACCTATCTCCTTCACAGGACCAAGTTGTTTGGTATTAGGCTTTGAATGTGATGGGAAATTTGCTTCTGAAGGGACAAAAAATGTCATCAATGCTTGTGTTGAGCTCAAAGTGAAGCGACTTATCTATACGAGCTCTCCTAGTGTGGTTTTTGATGGTGTTCATGGAATTCTTAATGGAGATGAATCACTGCCTTATCCCGCTAAGGTACTTGCTTCAGCGAGTTTGCATAAAATCACTGCTAATATCAGTTTCTTCTTTTCAAGGTTCACACTGATCTGAACTTGGGATGTGTGCATTTGTTGATGTTTATCGTTCAATCAAACAATTGGAAGTCATTTGTTTTTTATGGGTAATATTAGTCCAATAACATGGCTTTAAATTGTATTCAACTGATTTCAGCATAACGATCATTACTCTGCAACTAAAGCAGAAGGGGAGGCATTGGTCATTAAGTCTAATGGGACTGAGGGGCTTCTAACATGCTGCATACGCCCCAGCAGCATTTTTGGGCCTGGAGATAAACTGTTTGTGCCTTCATTAGTTGAAGCTGCTAGGGCAGGGAAATCAAAGGTGAGTGTGGTTTCATCTCCTATTGATTTAAAGCTGTATGCGGCTCTCTTTGTTCACCAAAAAACAAAAAGTTCTGTATGCATTTTAATAATTAATTTGAAGGCATATTTCCACATAAAAGTTACTCAGCAACCAAAATATTGTGTGTAGAAGGCTTAAATGTTTTCATTGTTGGATTTTAAAGCAGAAACTAGATATTATCTCGAAGATGTCTTTTCAAGCTCCCCATTCCACATCCTTTACTGGGGGGTTTAGCAAAATGACAACTGTGAGCCTTTGACGTGACTGTTGTTAGGTGTGTCTACTGATGTTCTGATGCATTGGATCACATCACCTGGAGTCATGGCAAATCTCTGGCATTTTTTATTGCTGAAGCAAATGATTGAATCATTAGACATTTTAACCTGCGGTTGGAACTATCTAGGTGTGTCAGAATGCATCATATCCATAAATTAAATAAAATAAGAATGATGTTTTGATGTGTTGGATCACAGTGATTCATACATCAAATTGTGTTTTGGTTACAATAATGTTGTGCAGAGTACCGGTAATTCTCCGGTACTTCATGCTGCTTGAGCAAATGATTGCACCGTTAGAGTCCTTATTAGGCTTAAGAGATTGAGCTTGTATAATACATTATAAGTGTATCATTAGTTTGGTGCAAGTATTGTACTGTATATTTTTGTCCGTTAAAACATGATGGATAACTTAATTAGGCCTTAATGGTGGCTGGGTGGGATTAGGCCTTTTTATTTTTTGACATATAAGCTGCTCTCAATGGAGGGTTGAGCCATGAATGAAGAACCATCAATTGTGGAGGTAGTGGCATAGAGACTGTGCCAGTAATTTTGGTCATGGGATTGAAATTGGGAGATAGGTTGAACTCGAAAAGCATGCTTTTGAGCCTGGTAGATTGGTCAGAAGGGCTGTAATGGATATTCTGAAGAAGAGTTGAGACACAACATTCTGGGTATTAAAGGTTGCAGTCATGGATGACTCACCTAGGTTGGGACAAAGCTGGTGATGCTCACTTTTTATCATTGTCACTTTTCCTCTTGATTTTGAGTTGTTGACTTAGTTTCAGATTCAAATGGTGCTTTGAGATTAAGAGTGACTTTCTTCCTATGATCAGTGGATGCGCTCAGAAACTCAGGTTGAAGATGAGGATGGTGTAGTCATTATGAATGATGAAGAATTGAGCATTGGAGATTGGGGTTCTTTTGCTTCTTTGCTTAGTTTTTTTCAGCTCCTACTAGTGTTGCCACCTTGTAATAATTTGAACCATACAAAAATTTTAAAATAATTACTAAATCATAGAAGTATGATCCTCATAAGGAAACATTTAAAAGAAAAGGACAAATTTATTGCTTGTTGGTGCAGGCAAACCATAACAACAGCATCGGCTCAAACAAATATGATCCATAAGATATGTCTTTATGTTTGTTTTGACCTTTTCACCATATTTTCCTTTTATTTTCTAATGTAATGTACAATAGAGATTGAGTGTTGCCAAAGAGGGACTTTATTTATCCGATTTAGTGTTATACAGTGTGTGATTAAATAAATGATAGTACATAGTATTATTTTATGCAATATAATATCTCATGTATGTTACGTTACACAAAATTTTGTAAAATCAGGCCTTATCTCATCATATCTTATCCTGTTTGGCCTTATTCAAAAATAATGATTTTTAATTGGATCAAACTGTTAGAAAGTATCCATAAATTTGTTGAAATTTGATTGTAAGACCAATGAAAACTAAATTGCTTCATTGCATGTGGAGAGATGTGGAGGCATGCACAAGTGTGGCGCTGAAAAGAATGCATTTATAATTACTTATTAGTAGAATCTTTCTTCAGCAAAGCCTATTTTTCATATGTTGATATATATTTCTCTCTTGACCAGTTCATTATTGGTGATGGCAATAACCTTTATGATTTCACTTACGTTGAAAATGTGGCACATGCCCATATATGTGCCGATCGAGCTCTAGCTTCGGAAGGGACAGTTGCAGGAAAAGTCTCAGGGCAGGTGATTATGTTTTATTGTTTAAGTGTGTAAAGGAAGATTCTTAAGACAGACAGTTCAATTAAAAGTAGATCACTGGCTAACTCAACAAGTGCTCTTTGCATTTCTCCTGCCAAAGGGAAAATAATTAACCAGTCTATTTTGCAAGTTAGATATTTTCCCCTGCCAATTAACAAATGGATCTCCATTGTGCAGGCCTATTTCATCACAAATATGGAACCTATAAAGTTTTGGGAGTTTATGTCACTTGTTCTGGAAGATCTTGGATATGAAAGGTAGTTTCCTATTGTACTGGATCACAAATTAAAATTTGACGACTATTTACTCTTGCTCAAAGTTGTACTTCCTTTTATTCATTTGGTATACCAATCAAATAATATAAATTTAAGAGGCACTTTTATATCCCACATTAGGCTGTGGGTGCTATGTAATCATAACGAGAGATCAAGGAGCTCTTATATTATTTTTATGATTTTTTTTTTGGCCAATACGATATTGGCTTCTTGTTTGTATTATACAACAACAACAACAACAACAAGCCTTTATCCCACTAGGTGGAACCTTCGTGACGCCGCGCGCCGGCCCGCCGGGAACGATGCAGGCGCGACGGTCCTTGTTTGTATTATACAATAATCAAGAAATTCCTATGTCTTACAATGGTTTTTAACAGTTAGTTAACAAGAAATCTGTTTATAGATTTTATTTAAAAAAGTCATATTGTGGTACATCTATGCCTTTTCTTTCTTCTCTGAATTGATAAAGTTTGCAGGCCGAGAATAAAGATCCCTGTCTTTGTTATTATGCCAATTGCGCATATGGTGGAGTGGGCTTATAGGCTGCTAGGTCCATATGGGATGAAGGTTCCACAGTTGACACCTTCAAGAGTAAGACTTTTGTCTTGCAGCAGAACTTTTAATTGCTCAAAAGCAAAGGATAGCATTGGCTACACACCCATCATAACACTTCAGGTTTGAAAACATTTCACTATAGGAATTTGATACATGACTATCTTTCTATGCAGAAATACACTGATGCTTCGCTCATATGCTTAACTGTCTGTTGTTGCACAAATTTATGAGGAGCTTCAGTGGAGTTGCTACGGCTCTGGTCATCTACATTCCTTATATTATTCTTGCTTCAAAAAGGATGGAAAATTACATAATTTAGAGTCCATAAATCTATTGGCAATGTTGAGTTGAAACTAACTTGCATACTATGAACTCTGCCATATGATGTGGTTTTTGAAATGGTCTGTATGTAGTGCACTAATCCAATCAGTGATTGTATATCCTTATTTGTTCATGGGAATTTAACGAGTGATAACGTGAGATTTCTCTGCAGGAGGGTCTACAAAGGACTATTAAATCGTATCCACACTTGAGAGCTGAAAATCAGCTTAATACTAAAAGAGAAGGGCCTTCCAAAGCTTCCATATATCTTGGAAGTGGAAGAGGTATGAATAATTCTGTTAACTTGTCCATCCTTTAGGAATCTGTATACAGCAGCATGTCTGTACGAAGGTATAGTAGCATTTGAACAGAACCTCTAAGAAACCTGGAGCAACAACTGAGTTCTTTGGTCTAATCCTGTAGGTTTGCTTTTGAACTTCACTGCACTAGCCTTTTACACTTGCTCTTACAACTTAGTGCTACATTCTGTGTGTGTGTTATAAATTCCTAGATTAATGAGATATCCTTGATGTATTTTAAGTGTCAAATTTGACGATTGATCATGATTAATGAAGGCTAGTGAAACACAATTATGGATGTAGTTTTATAGGTTAGGCAGCACTCTGCATTTGATTTTGTAAATTTGCATTTCCTTTTTTTTTTCCTTGGTGAAAACTAAGTCAAAGGTCTTTCATTTGTCTAGAGACAAGTTCTCCTTTCTAAAGAAGATTATGTTATTTGTTCAGACATGCATTGTTATGTCCTCACAGTATGTTTACAATCTAAATTAGCTGGCTGTATCAATTCTTGTTTACTTCATGTACACAATGGTGTAACTTCTTGGTGTTGTGAGTTAGTCTGTGGTGTGCATTTATTCTTCTATAGATTTTAGTCAATGTGCAAATTTACTGTCACTGGCTTTTTGCAGTTGCTGACACGTTGCTCTGGAAGGATAAGAAGCAAACTGTCACTGCATTATTAGTTTTGTTTGCCGTATACTACAACTTCATTGCATCCGGGTCTACTGTTGTTACTGCTCTTTCAAAGCTTCTATTGTTCACATCAGTCTTTTTATTTGTCCACAGCATTCTACCTGAAAAAATGTAAGTTTTTTGTGTTTTTGAACATGCTAAGATGTCCACATCAATATACATGTCCGCTAACGCCATAGTATTTAGCCTTTAGCGTCTTGTTTTCTTTTAATTTCTCGGATTTGAATGATGTTATCCCTCCCCCAACCCCCACCCTTGGTGAAGTTTACGCTCTACTTTTGAATGAAGCCTTTCTTTTGTCCCATAAAGAAACTTCATTATACAATGACTTAAATGATGGCATAACTCAAGGTGCTGTAATTACCTGTAGGTTGGGATATACAATTGAGAAAGTACCCGCATCTTGGTTTCACTTATCAGAAGATAAGTCACATCAAGTTGTTTTCTCCCTTGCTTCTTCATGGAATTTCGCTGTCAATGTTTTGAAATCTCTTGCAGAAGGGAATAATTGGGTGCTGTTTCTCAAGGTATGTGATTATGCATGCTAAATTGCATTTCTTTCATATTGCTTTCTATCAAATACCTTGCTACATATTCCATGATGTAAATTTTAACTTCTACTTAGGCCTTGACAATTTCATAGAACATCCTTGAAAGATTTTGAAATAGTTATTAAAATATTGTTTATTGTTGACTGCTTTTCTCATCGAGCAAAGCCTGTATACTTTTCAGCTGAAATTAACATGGATGTACAATTTGTCGTGTTATTCAAGCTATTTAACTTGCATACGCTGACTGCTTAGTACATTCTCCCTTAAATCTGATATGCTAACACTGTCTTTGCTTTGGTGATCAATAGGTTACTGTATCTCTCATCATTCTTAGCTTCCTTGGAGCCTTATCATTTCAGAATACATATGTTATAGGTATGTTGTCTGTATTGCTGTACTGTAGTTCGTTCCCATAGAAAAGTCCATCCCAAATCTGATCTGGCATGCTTGTCTCCATGCAATTGAATTGAGGGAAAATTATGAATAAGTCCCAATTTAGGGACTCCTGCAAATTTGAAAAAATACTCTCAAGTCTCTTGAGACTTGGTTGTATATAAAATGACATAAATGCCCTTAGACCCACCCTTTTTGACTTGAACTTTGACCGGCATTGGCTGGCTGCTGGCGCCACTGGCTGCAATTGTTGACTGGTCAACTACTGGTATAAATAATTATTTTTTATAAATTTTATTAATATTTAGTATTTATATTTACAAGTCAACATCTTATATTTATAATTGAAGCTAAGCATTTTTTTTTGTCATAGTTAACTTGTAAATTTCGAAGTTTGGCTTGTAAATTTTAGAGGAGGATTTGTAAATATGAGAAGTTGGCTTGTAATTTAATATGTAAAATTTCAATAACATATACAAAAACTGCTCAGATTCACTTGTAAATCTAAGAGCTTGTATAATTATTAAAGTATCAATGTTTTAAGAGGTTGACATGTAAATCTGAGACATTTACTTGTTAATTGATCAAGTTTGAGTTATAAATATTTAAGTATCAATATTTTAAGAGGTTGACTTGTAAATTTGAAATATTTGCTTGCAAATCGATGAAGTGAGTTGTAAATATTGAAGTATCAATGTTTGGAGAGGCTAACTTATAAATTTAAGATGTTGACTTGTGAAATTGAGAAGTTTACTTGTAAATCAATGAAGTTTCAATTGTAAACTCATGAAATTTCACTTGTAAATATTAAAGTATCAATATTTTAGGAGGTTGAAGTTTACTTGTAAACAGATGAAGTTTCATTTGTAAATCCTTGAAATTTCACTTGTCAACTGCTGGCTGCTGCTTGCTGCCAGTGAATGTTCTTCAGCCTTTGACTGGTCAATGTCAGTCAAAGGAGGCAGGTCAAGGGGTATTGGTGTTATTTCACAAGCAAAATTAATTACAATTTACAGTACCCAATTTGCTGGACTTATTTGTAAATAAGTCCCTTATTTGGGACTTATATGTAATTTTCCAATCCTACCACATAAATCGTGACAGGTACCCAATATTAAATGGAATTTGGATTCTCTGAAGTGTAAAGCCTGTAAAGTGTTTTTCGAGCAAAGAGAGTAATAAAATGAGAGGGATTGTGCTGGGGACCTCTTTTTTCTATTTTCTAACACCATCTCTCTCTCAATTCTCACTTTAGGGAATCCCAATTCTATCAAGTCAAATGATACATGCATTTGGTTAATTTTGCATCATGCTTGAAACATTAGGTAAAACTTTGAACAGTTTCAGGAAGCTCATTTCGCAAGTCTATTCGGTGCCTTGACGCCAGATACGAGTAATAGAGCCATGGCATTTCTCTTCTGGGATTGCTTATAAATTTTATAAACCTCTTTCCGAAAATTGCTATTGTGAATATTAAAATTGTTGAAGTGGGATTTATTTGTTTGTGGTGGTAAACTTGAGACTGTGAATTCTTTACTCATGTTAATGCCAGTGCTTGCTGTGACAATATGAGCTTGTTTTTCTAGGCTGTTATAAGCTTCCATTTACCTATTTGCTTTTCATCAGTTCGGTGCTTGAATGGAAACGTGATATACTGAACTAGTTATTCTCATGGGTACAGGAATTGCCTTTGCATTTATAGCTTTCTACGTATATGAGAAGAAGGAACAAGAAATTGATGCCCTATTTCTGAAAACACAACATTTCGGATGCAAGTTAAAATCTGACTTCAGTGGGAGGTTTCTTTCTTCAAAGAAGATTGATTGATAGCTGGTAGCATGTGTTTTTTGTTCTTTGGGGTTTGGCTAACATGGGAAGTTGCGTCTTCATTTGCTAGTTCTGTGGATTTTTGTTTTGATTGTTCGACAAATCTAACATGGATTGCAAGCCTGCATTGTTCGAAGTTCGCAAGCTTCTTAAATGAGTTGTACTGATTAGCTATGGGGAATGAATTAAAGAAACTTAAGTCCTTCCTTAAAAAAAAAAAAAAAAATTACCGAAAGTTCTGCAGCACAACCAGGTGATCGTTCAGAATACTTCACTTCAGATAATATCTGCATCAATATCTCTCAGTCAGGGAGAAATCTGTATGTTATTCCTTCTTTTCTTTTTTCTTTTTTAAAACTATTACTTCATTTTTGTTTGGCAGAAAAGTAATTATTTTGAGTAAAATTTTGTGATCTAATAAATCTTGATGGTTAAGATTCATTTTAAAAAAAGAAGTGAATTTAACTGATTTAAATTTTGCAGATCAATTTTTTGGGGCCAAATTTTGTAAATGAATTGAATAATTATTTCTCAATTTGTTTATTAATATTACTTTTTGGGTTTGTCGCTAACGTTTTGCGAGTGGCCTGGCCTTTGTGAGGTAACATTTTAATCCTTGCCGAGGGTGTTCCCTCCGCGGCTCAAAGTGCTAGTACAGATTTTTGCTGTTAGCTAATGGTTCTCTTTTTTATTTATGAATCACGTAAATATTTTTTTAATATATAGATATCATTTTATTGGAAAGAATATCCTGTTTGACTTTAAATGTGAACATTTCTTTAAGTAGAAAATTTAATTTTTGTTTGTTCATGTTGTAAGAAACTTGTTTTTTTCTGTTAGATTTGGTTGAAGCACATAAACCTTTGATTGTTAAATGTTTTAATTTCATAATGTTAAAGGAAAAAATAATATAGTTTTAAATTGATCATTAAAAATGGAAAGAAAAGCAATTGAGGATCGAAGGTAAAACATTAGAAAAATTAATAGATCAAAACCAAATGAAATTAAGAGATGAGAGTAAAACTCTAAATAATATGAAAAGGCAATAATGAAATTGAGAATGGAGTTGAGATATCAAACTAGAACTCATTAAATTTAAAGGATGAAAATTACATTTTAAATAAAACAAAGAATCTAAACGTGCATTTTTCCAAAATATCTAACATCAACTAAGGTAAAAAAAATTTTAATTAAAATTTCTTTTTAATATAAAAATAAAAGCTAATATATTACACATGATAATAATTTTACTTTCATTTCAAGGATAAGGCATATTTTCTAAAAGTCTTATATTTTAATTGGAGGGTGAAAAACATGTCAAGAATGTGATTATGTGAGTATAAATATTTGAAGTTTTGTTTAATATTACCATATTTATTTTTTGGCATTATGCATTTACGATTTAACTAGACAAACGTAGGTTGAGTATGAGGAACACATTTTTTGGCAAAAAAAAAAGAGGAGTTTTTTTTTAAGTTAATTTTTTTAATATCAAAACAAAGAAATTACACACGCTAATAGCGAAGCAAAAAAAAAAAAAACTAAAAAAAAAACCTAAAGTTAGGAACTAACACGCAATTAACTAAAACAAAAAACAAAAAAAACCAAGAAAACAAAACAAACAGTAACAGATCAGCAAACTAATAAAAGATTTATCCGAATTTAACATTCATTTTTGTGTCTGGCAGCATTTATTACAGTCCAAATTAAAACTGCGGATAGGGGGATATCCAAGAGGAAACCTGACCCCGCTTCGTCTAGCTTGCTCTCAATTGCAAAACCTAACTCTGCGCCGCGCTAACCTGAGACTGAGACTCTTGTCGCCACAACTAGGCTCGCCTTTGAAACTAACTAGTTTTTCAGTATTTATGTCTGGGAACGTAACTGGTCACTGCCAACGAAAGAGAATCTCGTAGTTTCGAAGCCATTATTTTCGTCTTTGGGTCTGGTCATGGCGGACGTAATGGTAATGAATGAGATTGAGGCAACAGCATTACGGCTTGGAGTCGATCTCTCCACTCTTGACTTGGATTCCGTTCGCCTTCCACCGGGCGATGATTTTGGCGTCGTCAGGTATTTCCACCCTAGTTCTTACATGTTTCTGGTTCGCTACTGAGATAAATTGGTAATGCGAAGAAAAATTGAATCTTACGTTGGCAATTAGTTGGCATTTGTATTTATTAAGTGATGATTATGTAAGTTTATAGCTTTCTTTTTTATTTAGGAAACTCATAATGCCTGTATTCGTACTGGAAAAATATGTACTGTGTAAGGTGGGAAAATAGATTTTTTTTGGCGGGAAGAAGTACATTTTACCCATGATTTATGTGTGATTGAAGCAGTTCTCCTATGAACTTCTGGATATTAGTAAACACTTAATGAAATAGGATTTGGTGTTGGTGTTTACGGGTGTTTGTTACATTTAAGTTATGGGAGTGCTTTCTTAACTCATGTATCAATGTAGAAGGTGTGGTTCACGGGGTGAAATTTTCTTACGCTGGTTATTTCTACTTTAAGTTGGAACTTTCTTTCAATCTTGGGAGTTTAGAAATAAGAGAATTGGCGACTGTAAACTACCTCGATGAAGGGCATTATTCCTCTGTTTCACCCCCAATTCAGTGTTTAAGTTGCTTATATTCTGGTCGAAAAAAAGTTGCTTATATTAGCATTCTCTTCTCGTCCAAACAAATAAATGCAATTAAAAATCTATGGCCTTTATTTAAGGAATGAAATAACTTAAAGCCAACCTTTCTCCATAATGTCTCATTCTATCTTGGTTTATGTATATTTGGTGCTTACAATTGTCAGATTTTTGATTTATCAGTTGGCTTGATGATCTGATTATGTTTTGTTTTTCATAACATAGTGATGATGAAGATATCTACCAGGAGGAAAATCTGGAGTTGGATTCTGGATTTAGCAACATTATAGTTGTGGATAACCTTCCAGTTGTGCCCCGGGAGAAGTTTGAGAAGCTGGAAGGTGTAATACGTAAAATTTTTAGTCAGATTGGTGTGATTAAAGAGGATGGCCTGTTTATGCCTGTTGATCCTGGTTCTGAAATAAGTTTAGGTTATTGCTTCATTGAGTATAATACTCCTCAGGTATGAATGTCAAAACCTGAAAGAAAAAATTTTTTATGTGAAAACTTTGCTATTAGTAATTTAGTGTCAGTTTTCTCCTTGTAGTTGTTCATTGCATTGGATTTTTTAACACTTTCATTTTTTTGTCTTTAAATCTGACACTCGTTTTAGGAAGCTGAGCTTGCAAAAGAAAAGACACATGGATACAAGTTGGATCGTGCACATGTTTTTTCGGTGAACATGTTTGATGACTTTAACCGGTATATGAAAGTACCAGATCAGTGGGCTCCCCCCGAAACAAACCCATATGCTGCAGGAGTAATATTTTATATCAATTCTGTTTCTTTTGGATATTTGCTTTGTTTTTTAATTGTTCTTTAAGTCTAAATTTTTATGAAAAACTGCAGAACTGTGAATTGAACTTTTGTTGCGAACTTTGATGGCACTCTTAAGTTCTCTCGCATGTCAACCTAGGGAGTCAGGTGTTTTAGTTTTACTAATGTAAACTATTCTATTTTCTTGACTTGGCTGCTGACCCTTCAATGCAGCCTTATATCTGTTATTGTATGTTACCACGATGTCTGGCAACGGAAAAAAAAAGTATATTGCTACGATGACCATGTGTATTTGTTAAACCAGGAATTCTGATCATTTGATTGATGATATTATATGATTGTCCAACGATTTTGTTGGTTTACATCTCAGGGTGTTTGTAACTTAATAGGGTTTTTTAAAAAAATTTTGGTTATCGCCTTTTTCACTTGATTGTTTGTGTCTAGTTTTCTTTTACAATTGTATTTAACTTAAGCCATTTCAATATTATCATATATGATATACCATGCATCCTTTTGCAAATATGAACGCATGTGTTACTTGTTGGAAACTGTGTGGTGTGACCACATATGTGTATAGTTTTTCTTTTAATTTATGATTTAGTGCCTTTATCTGTGACTTCTAGGTGCCACATTTGATGGCTTTTTATTCTATCATTTTGAGCCTGTAAAATGTGCAGCTTTTCAATATTTTTGTGATTCATTTTAGTATTGTACTTTTGACAGGAAAATCTTCAGCATTGGCTTACTGATGCAAAAGCCCGAGACCAGTTTGTGATTCGTGCTGGCTCTGATACTGAGGTTTTATGGAATGATGCAAGGCATTTGAAGCCTGATCCTGTTTACAAGCGTACAGTGAGTGCACATCCTTTTTTCTGATATGAGTATTAATGCCTTCTCATCATTTATTCTTCACTGCCCCTTTGTGTCACTGCTGACCACTGCATGCTTATATCTGATGCAATGACAGTTTTGGACTGAGAGTTTTGTGCAATGGTCCCCACTTGGTACATATTTGGCAACAGTTCACAGGCAGGGGGCAGCTGTTTGGGGAGGTGCCACAAACTTCAATCGTCTTATGCGATATGCTCATCCACAGGTTTTGTTTTGTGTTAGAGTTAGGATTATGTTTCTCGTTTTCTCCTGACTTGTAAATTATATAGTACGTATATTAATAACTGCAGGTAAAACTCATTGATTTTTCACCTGGTGAGAAGTATTTGGTAACTTACAGTAGCCATGAACCAAGCAATCCTCGTGATGCAAATGTGAGTTCAATCTTGTTTATTCATTGTTTTATATTTGTAATGTGAGTTTCTTCTTTACACCGTTTCTGACATCAATTTTATTTATAGAGGGTTGTGATAAATATCTTTGATGTGAGACTTGGTAAAGTGATGAGGGATTTCAAAGGAAGTGCAGACGATTTTGCAGTTGGAGGTACTGGGGGTGTTGCTGGGGTGTCATGGCCTGTTTTCAGGTACCATTTCCCCCCTTTCTAGCTTAAATCCTAATATATTAGAATCTCCAATGTGCCTAACACATTGATATTATCTTTGCAGATGGGGTGGTGGTAGAGATGACAAGTACTTTGCCAGAATGGGGAAAAATGTGATCTCTGTATATGAGACAGAGACCTTTTCTCTTATTGACAAGAAGTCCTTAAAGGTTGAAAATGTAATGGATTTCATCTGGTCTCCAACAGATCCTATTCTTGCACTTTTTGTTCCTGAGATGGGTGGTGGGAACCAGCCTGCTAGGGTAAGTGCTATTATGTGGAACTACCTGCATTCTGGTTGTTTGGTTTGCTATTTTAGATTAATGTTCATGGTCTTATCTCAAGTGTTGTAAATTGATATTTTGCATTGGTGGATGAGTAGGTTAGTCTTGTTCAAATCCCCGGTAAAGAGGAACTCAGGCAGAAGAACCTTTTCAGTGTCAGTGATTGCAAGATGTACTGGCAAAGCAATGGGGACTATCTTGCTGTTAAGGTAGATCGGTACACAAAGACCAAAAAAAGCACTTACACAGGCTTTGAGCTTTTCCGTATAAAAGAACGTGATATACCCATTGAAGTTCTGGAGCTTGAGAATAAAAATGACAAGATTATTGCTTTTGCTTGGGAGCCCAAAGGTCATAGGTTTGCAGTTATTCATGGTGATAACCCTAAGCCTGATATTAGCTTTTACACCATGCGGACTGCTCAGAACACTGGCCGGGTTTCAAAACTTGTTACTTTGAAAGGCAAGCAGGCAAATGCTCTTTTTTGGTCACCTGCAGGCCGCTACATTGTGCTTGCAGGTTTGAAAGGATTCAATGGACAATTGGAATTTTATAATGTTGATGAGCTTGAAACTATGGCAACTGCTGAGCATTTTATGGCAACAGATATTGAATGGGATCCAACTGGAAGGTAAATTTTGAATCTAAATTTTGATATTACTAATAAAGTCATAAGTTTGTTTTGGTCCTTGCTAAAATCACTCTACACTTGCTTATTTAGTTACTATGGCTGTTCAATATCAAATTGTTGCTATTCTGAAATTACTTATTTCATTCTGCAGGTATGTTGCAACTTCTGTGACTTCGGTCCATGAAATGGAAAATGGTTTCAATATATGGTCTTTCAATGGCAAACTTCTCTATCGCATCTTGAAGGATCACTTCTATCAGGTGTGTCATCACTCCTTGCTTGAAGCTTTTGTTAGTTTAAGTGTTACAGTGGTCAGTGGTCGGGTCTTTAGCAAGGTTAAGGATTGCAATATAAACTCTACTCCTGTCCCTAAAAAAAAAAAAATGTTGAAGTCTCGTTTTGGTCTTTCACATGTGAGGTAGTCTTTAATTTGGTTCCTCATAATATGATTATCTTATCAATCTGATCTCTTATGGATAAAGTATCTCTCAATTTGGTCCCTCAGAATCTTCTCTTTAGTTTAGTCCTTTTCAAATGGTTAGTTTTCAATTTGGTGATTGGTCCCTTATAAAAATAATCTTTTAATCCGTGTTAAGTAGTTAAAAATGGCTTACATTAATTGCAGAATAATCATCCATAATGTTTTGTTATCAATTTATTACAATTTAAATTATGACATTTAACATGTTTTTTGATTGATAGGTTATAAATTTGTCTATATTTTAATTCATTTTTCATTGTCTTTACAATAAATTGATGGACATCATTGATAATGATTTTGTTTGTGAAAGACTAAATTAACAATTACTCTGGTAAATGGCTAATCTGATTGGTTGATCTAGAAACCAAACTGATGGATGCTTTATTTGCGAGGGACTGGATTGATTAGTTAGTTTTGAGTAAGTTGAAATAAATACCTCATCTTTGAAGGATTAAATGGGGTATAAGTCATTTAAAATCTTGTCATACAGGCCTTCCATATCCAAGATTTGGTGTTGAGAGCAAGTATCCTGATAATTCTGTATTGATTTGTAGTTCTGTACTTGGTCTTTGACGCAAATATTGAGCAATCACTATTTTTCCAACAGTTCTTATGGCGACCAAGGCCACCATCTTTCTTGAGTCCAGAGAAAGAGGAAGAGATTGGAAAGAACTTGAAGAAGTATAGCAAGAAGTACGAGGCTGAAGACCAAGACGTGTCACTGCTACTGAGCGAGCAGGAACGCGAGAAGCGCAGGCTTTTGAAAGAAGAGTGGGACAAGTGGGTGAATCAATGGAGGCAGCTTCATGAAGAGGACAAGTCAGGGAGGCAAAAACTTAGGGATGGTGAAGCCAGTGATGAAGAAGAGGAATACGAGGCTAAGGACATTGAAGTTGAGGAAGTGGTGGATGTGTCAGAGGAGGTCCTTCCTTTTGAGTATGAACACGAGTGAAGTGTTTTTTTGGCTTGGCTTGGCTTGGCAGAGTGAAGCAGTTTCTTTTTTCCAAACCCAATTTTGTAGGGTCATTTTGTGGCAGCAATATTTTTTGCCCTTCATTATTTAACATGAGTGGCAATTTTGTTGTCGCCTTTGATGTAACTGGAAGGTTTATCTAATTGGCTACTTCATAATTCAGCAAAATCATTTACTGTAACTGTGGCCAACATTTGAAACCCGCATTTTGCACATTTTTTTCACATTTTCAGGCAGAAAGGAGGACAATCATATGGGGTATTGACCTGATTGGGTCTCTTTCGATGGGGTATCCATCTGGTTGGGTCTCTTTCGATGGGGTATCCATCTGATTGGGTCTCTCTCTCTCTATGGGGTATCCATCTGATTGGGCCTTGCTAGCTATCTTGAAAAACCGAAGGTCTCTTTTGGTTGTTAGAAAACTGAGAATGGAATGAATTAAAAAAATTAAAATAAATATAAATTATTTTTTTTATAATAAGTATGATGATATTTAATATTATATATCACATGTGAGAATTATCATATTTTTTAAAAATTTTATGAATTATGACTCACTTTTATAAATTAAATTTTTTTTTTCTTATGAATATAATTCATTTATTTTTCTTTACATTTTGATCATTTTAACTTTATTTTTAATTTTTCAATCTATTTCATTACCTTCTCTTTATTTATTATTATTACTTGCCTAGATTAATTCAAAGCCTGGGCTCGCACGTTGATAAAGCGATTATGGTCCAAAAGATTTGTGATGAAAAATAGTAAGTGAAACTGTGGTGGTAATTTCATGCTCGCAGTGGCACAAGCTTTTAAGTCGAATCAAAGCAGTGATGAAACATGTTTTGCGGGAGCTCGGCTATCCTCCTGCCATCCTCTCCCATGGACTCTTTTTTTTCTTTTCTTTAATAAAAAATAAAGTTTATAGGTAATAAAATAGTAAATTAGGCTCTTATAATTGTGCTGCTTCCAATTTTTTAAAGAGAAAATTACAGATAAATTCTTTTGAAATAGAAAAATAATTTGATCATGTGAAATGTGATAATCATAGTAAGGTTTTAATGATTTTTTTAGATTAAATTTTTGAGTGAAACTACTTTAATACCCCTTTGCAATTTATAAAATTGTGATTTATCGTTGTTGGTAGAATTAAACTTGTGAATGTGTATAGCAAACTTGAGGACTTTACTAATTGAAGAAAATTGTTCGTAGAAAGGTGTAATTTCCTAAATTGTTTTAGTTGTTAGTGGAACTAAACTTGCAAATATTTATAATAAACTTATAAATTATATAAAATTAGTTGCAAAACAGTATTAAAGTAATTTCACACAAAAATTTAATTTAAAAAAAATCTCTTAGAACCTTATTGTAATTATCATATTTTGTTTAACCAAATTGTTATTTTTATATTTTAGAGGAATTTATTTGTTATTCTCCATTTTTTTTAAAGAACAATCTATTATGAAGGGAAATTGAATTTGCAATCCGCAAGAGTTAATTGAAGACTTGCTTTATTTTTAAATGCAAGATTTCAATTTTCTTTATTTTCTTATTTATTATTTTTTTCTTAAACTATTTCTGCATAATATCACTGATCAATAGGAGGTAATTTTCAAAAATAATTTATTAAAAAAAAGTCAGCACACTTTTCTAAAAGTAATAATTTATTTAATTTATTTAATCTATGTGAATTAGTTAATTAGCTCATATAATCAGGAGTAAAGGGAGTACAAAACAAGAGTTTGAATCTTTGATTTTTACAAACATTTCACCCAACCGCAACCAGTGAGGTAATCTTTATATAAGAAATGCTATTCTGTTTACGTGCAAATGGTTGTTAGTGTATTTTTTTTTTTTTAATAGCTGATAGCCAGTTTTCTTATAAATATTTTTTAATTATTTAAACATGAAGTTAAAGATGCTGAGGATATGCCAATGAACACATAACTCAACTGATAAAGAGTTGTATTAACTTGACCAATTGTTTTGAGTTTTAGTCTTGGTATTTAGCTGTGCTGAATCATCAAGAGATCTTTGCCTTCAATGTGATCTTACCTTACTCGACCCATTTATTAGGGGGAAAAAAAAGATGCTGAGGATATATTATATTATTATCATTAAATAGGAGTATTTAATACAAGTGCTCTTGTGTGTACATAAGTGGATTCTACAAACATGGCAATTTGGCGACAGACACACATAAATTAAAACCAAAAGCAATATACAAATAAAGACGTACGGCAAATTATAAATAATATACCATCAACCATAAAATATTGATATCCTAAATAAACAATTTACTAAGGCGCAAGTTCGGATTGGACGATAAAACATGATTTCCATTTGGAATTCCAGCGACGATTTTGATTTTGGGTGTCATCTTTGATTGGACTTGTTCCTTTGACGTCCATGTTGGCCTCCTTCTTCCATAATACGAAGTTTCTTGCTCCACAACATCCAATGGCTTCCTTCGGACTCAGAGCTGCAAAACCACTTTCACCATCCATAATCCTTATGATTTCACAAGCATCATACATACATACATACATATATATATATTCTTTCCGATCTAATTTATAAATCATGTCTAACATGTTTCAACATTAAAAAAAAAATTTAAAAGTCATTAACTTTGTGTAAAAAATTATTAACTTTATACACACATAATTTAATAACTTACTCCTCGTTCTTAATTCTCTTTTGGGCCGCAATACATGTCATTAGTAACTAATTCATGTTTTACAAAAAATGTTAGTTGAAATGTTATTTTTCCAAAAGTATCACATCTTTACATTTATACCCTTGAGTTTTCCTAATAACACATGGATAATTTTTAAATATGAAGCATTTAAAGATAAGGGAACAAAAAAAAGAAGAGAGAACGACATTTACGGCGTGTTTGATTCAAGGAGAGAGGGGAAGGGAGGGTTTTAATACCACATTGTTTGGTTTTGTTGGAGGGGAGGAATTTTTAATGGTCCTTTGTTTGGTTTTGGAGGGAAGAGGAGTAATAACTAATTTATTATTATATCCTTATACATTAGTCTAAAATTTTTTAGTTTTTCCTTGTAGAAAATAATTTTATACCTCAATTTAAATTGCATGTTTTCTTAAAAATTCACTCTCATCCTATCATATTCCCAATATGTGAATAAAAAGATTAAACAAATAATTGTAATGATAACAAGTTTTTATAAAATAAATAAGTTCCTTAAATATATAATAAAATATGACGAGTTGTAATTTTTTTTTAAATCCAATGAAGTTAGTCAAGGTTTGAGAGTGAGGCACAATCTGATATAAATGAGAATTTTTTTTTTAACTATGGGTATATTTAGAATATTAAAAAATAGATAAAGGCAAAATAGTCAAAAAAAATTAACCTCCTTCCAAAAAACCCCAAAATGAGGGGAGGGGAGGAGTTATTTTAGCTCCCCTCTCCTCCAAAATTTCTTAACCAAACTCTCCTCCCCTCCCCTCCCCTCTAAAATTCCCCAACCAAACACACCCTTAAGGCTCTCTCAAGGGAGTTTATCACAATAATGGCTCATTAGTTTTACATTGGATATTGTCTTGTGAAAGCGGGTATATGTTGTTAAAATTGAACCTTAACTTGATAAATTTTTAAGAAAACTCTAACAAAAAAAAATACAAGTTATAAAGTTTAGCTTTTAACAATAACATATACATGTTTTCACAAGAAAATATTTGATGCAAAATTGATGGGCCTTTATTGTGATAAATTTTCTTGAGAAAGCCTTAGATATTATTCTCCCAAAAAAGAAAGCAAGGGTATAAATGGTAAAAAAATATAAAATTTATCTAATGCCTTATGCTTTTGAACCAAAGGGTTCTCATAGAAAGTGACTTATATTGTGGCATGAAGGAAGTATAAGGTAAGCTTAACCAATTTCACGTTTATTAAAAAATACTCTCTCTGTTAAAAAATATAAGATATTTTTAATTGAATCTCACCCATCAATAAAGTAGTCATCTACTTTCAAACTTATCATAATTTTTTATATTTATCCATATTAAATACCCTACAATAAATATAAAGTCATTATCAATAGAGGTACTTTTGAAAAAAGATTATTGATTATACCTCGAAAGATTAAAAATGCCTTACATTCTTGAACATCCAAATCCTCAAAAAATGCTTTATATTTTTTAACGGAGGGAGTAGTTGTTATATTTTTAAAATTATTAAAAAAATTCTCTATAATTAATAATTACATTAAATTGTTATTTAGGAATTCAAATCATAATAAAAAAACAAGGGTACAACTGAAAAAAAAAATTAATTACTCTAAGTTTATCATATATTAAAGATAAAAAAAGTTTCAAAATTTGCTTTATAATTATATTAAGAATTGTATGGAGCACTTTCTCTTACCCACGTTTAACCGAGGGTGAAAAAACTTGTTATAAAAAATCAATAACATACTTTATGATAAATTTTTTTATCCCGTCTTATATTGTTCATATAATTTTAGTTTAGTTATAACTCAATCACCAAACTTCAACTCAGTTATAATCCAATATATAAATTTTGGCTCAATACAACTTAGTATTTATAATTTTAACCATTTAAAATATTAATCCTCATAACTTTAAAAAAAATTATAAACATTAAATTAATATTTTTAAAATGTGGGGACTAATATTTTAAATTACTAAAATTTTTAATTTCTATAACTATTTTAAAGAACCAATATTATAATTTTATTAGAGGCCAATATTTTAAAATACTAAAATGTAAAAAGTATAAGAATGGGTTGTATCAAGTTAAAGTTCAAAAACCAAACTAAAATTAAATTAAAATTATAAAAACTAAATTATAATGAATTAAAATTTAAAAACTAGTTATAACTAAACCAACCAAATCATTAATTTTCCGGATAAATAAGACAGCGAGGGAATATTAACAATAATCAATATCTGTGTCATATGCAGTTATAAAAGCCGTACAGAAGAAAAAAAGCGCAACTTGTTTTAAGACTCCGAACAGGTGTACGGGTCTACTCTAACTTCAACAGCTTCTACATATATATTGGATCCATGGTGGATCATGTTGATAAATTCTGAGATAAAAATATCTGACAAAAGAAAACAAGCAAAATCAAACCCCACAGAAAAATAAAAAAAATAAGAAGAGAGTAATATAATACCGTGAAGTTGTGGAGGACAGTAGAGGAGAAAATTGCTGGGATCACATCCGAGAAGAGGAAGCCTTCCAAGACGAGCATAAGCTTTGAGAGTGATGAGAATAACGTCGGAAACGACATCGTTTTCGTTCACTAGAAATCTCAGAGGTCCTGTTCTTCCCGCAACACTCACTGTGATCAGCAACCTCGTTAGCTTTCTAGTCTTTCTTTCTTCATCATCCTCTTTCTTCTTCTTCGTCGTCTTCTGCTGATCTGGTCTGTTCTTGGCCACCATTTTTTGTGCCATGGATCGAGGCCGAGGCATGTGGGATGGACTCAGAGAGAGGAAGCAGCGTGGAAAAGAGATATAATATGAGCATATAAATACAGAGAGATTATTGCATGGGAATGGAATGGTCATGTAAGATCATTAATTAATACTGTGACGACATGCATGGGGTGGATTTTGATTGATTGCTTTTCCTCAAGTGAAACCGTACCATACGAGCACTTTACCCCAATAACATATTTCTAACTAAATTATATTATTGACAAAAACATGTCACAAACTCTCTCTCTCTCTCTCTCTCTCACATCAAACACCTAGTATTAGTGAGATAAGATTTTTTATTGTATATGCCAAATGTAGTAGCTAAGAAGATTCAATATGTGCTAAGAATAATTTGGTTCAATGCCACATGCATTCAACTTTTAAAAACGGTGTTGTAGGTTCTATCTCCTATAGCTTCAAAATATGGGGTGAGATTAGGTTAGATAGGTGGGGGTGTGTGTGAGCCAATTAGGGCTATTGTGTGTTGAGTGAAAAATAAAGTCATTAAAAGTAATTTCATGTAAAATTTTATTTGATTAAAATAATGTAATATGACATATTTTTATTAGATAAAGCATGGATAACATGATATATCATATTCATGCAAGAATTTATTGTTATGTGATCATAGTCCTTTTTGAATTAATAGTTGGAAAGCATGTATATAGGACAAACATCATGTCACTACATTGTCATGGATTCCTCAAATAAGGTGATTAGTTATTAAACAATGATGGTATATAATTGGTTTATTTATTCAATAAAAATCATACTTTTAATCTTTTTTATTTTATTACACTTGAATTTATGTATTCCTCAAACAAGATTAAATATTAAATAACGCTGACATATAAATGGGTTATTTCTTCAATAAAAACCATAAATCTTCATAATTTCGTTAAATTTAAATTTAGTCTTCATAACTACAAATTATAATTCAAAAATGTTACTTTGGCGATAAACTAGAAGTCCTGTGCCAAATATTGTAAAGACTGAGACTCAAACTTGTAACCAATTTCTTAATAAACAAATACTATTCCTACTATCGACAACCTAAGTTGGTTAATTCAAAAATATTTTGTTAGTGTTAATTATTCATACTTAGATCACCACACATGATACAGAATTAAATTTTTTTTATAAAATATGAAAAAAAAGAATATTGGATTGGATTTTATTTTTTAAATCATAAAAACGTGATTATAGATTTTTATACTGTAAAGAATAAATTCCAAATTTAATATAATTATATAGTTTAATTAAAAGTATGGTTTTCATTAAAAATAAATTAAATATATATTATTAGCATCATCTAATACTTGTTTATCGAATCAATGATCTAGAGCATATTCTCAAGTGAATCCATATGAAATATGATGGACTGCGCACTTCTAGTAAGTTGCTTGTTTTGTAGTAAGGCACTAATCTCTTTAACACTAAAAAGGCCATTAAAGTGCTAAAGATGGTGGAAAAGTGGAAGCGGGACATGACAGTTTCCAAATCAAATCGTATATTTATCTAAACATCTATATCTACATATAATTAATATAAAAATGTATTATCAAAATTAATCACATTATATTTATAAGCAATAAATAATTGTCTCATTTTAAATTTTGCGATTTTAATGCATGCATCAGCGGACAATGCATTTAATTATGAGAGATTCACATACATGTTGCTCTATGTGTTCATATATATTAAAATGATTTGGTGATCATTGAGAGATCAGATAAGTGGTATATGTACTTTTGGATATGTTATTAAACCTTCAGGTGATGATCAATTTAGTTTTATAATTAAGTTGCATGAACTCATATTGGCTATTGCTCATAAGTTTTATAATTAAAGGAGAAGTTTGTGGGAGATAAAATATCTTATTGATTGGTTAAACAATAACTTTAAATGATAGGCTACAATATATAAAACTTTACTGAATTTTGAGTCAGTAGTGTAGAACCCATTTACTTTTAAAAGTTAAAATTGACTTTCCTAACTTTTTCTTGTTTTTACCACAAACTCCCTTACTGTTATTTTTTAATTATCTTACTAACAGGATTTGTCATGTCATATTAAAAAAACCCATATAATAGTTTATCTGGTGTTCAATGTAAATTAATGATAGTGCTTTATAGAAATTTTATCCTTATTTTTTTTATTATTATTAGCTTACATCAGGTACCATATAATCTGTTATATATATATATATATATATATTTTAATATGACATGTCAACTTCTATTATTAAGATAATGAAAAAAATAATAGTAGAGAAGTTTGTAGTGAAAAATAAAAGATTAGGAAATTAATTTTAAACTTTTAAAAGTGAAAAGAGTTTTGTACAACTGTTAACGTTAAGGGATTTTGTATATTTAATCTAAATAATATATAATAGTTTTAATTTTACTATAGGAAAATTACACTCTTAATATTTACAGTTCGATTAAAATTGTAAATAGTTTATATATATATATATATATAGTTCAAAAGTTTATAACCAAGTCATCATGAATTAAAAATATTTTTCGGTGGCATCATAAATATCGCTGGCCAACACTAAAGATTGACATTTTCCCCCCAGAATAAAGAGGACAAATGACAGATTAACTAAAAGTATTTTAAGGTAAAATAATTATGTATTGTCATGGTACTTTAAAATTTAAATATATTTAATATCCCTAAAAAACACTAAAATATAGATAATTAAATGAGATTAAATTGAAAATATAATGATAGAAACTAAATTATAGTTTATTAACTCATGAAGACCAAATTAAAAATAAATTTAATTTACAAGAACTAAAAGTACGATTTTCCATCAATTTTAAATACTAAGATAACGGTTCTATTTGAATTAACACTAAATGAATATATAGTGAATATTTAAAAATAGGGGAAATTAATATTTTCATCACATACTGTTACCCTCTAGAAACTATGAAATCTCTAATTTTCCATAATCAATTTCTGTTTATTATTAGGAGAAATTTCTTCTCATCGATGGCAAAGTCATCAAGATTTAATTATAAGAAGGGTTGAGATTGAAAAGCTTATATGGTTGGTAATTGCATAAATTTTGGGAGATATAACGTACAATACCTATGCATTAATACTAAGAGAAAGTTTAAATCCTAAGGCCACGGTTCATGCCACTCCTCCCCCAGTCAACATCTGACCTGGCTTTCCGGAAACAACAATACATTATTTTCATTCCATCTTCTTTGGGATTTTTTTTTAATCTCCTGAGGTGGAATGTTGTGTGTTGTTTATTGATGATTCACATATTTATAAACTTTGATCTCTCTTATTTTGATTTTTTAGTACCTGTTTTGATATATTTTAGAATAATTGGGTCATATTTGTGATTACAGGGCAAATGAATATTTTTTAATTTTTTTTGGCATTTATTACAATTTTTTTCAAATTTTATTGTATATTTTTAGTTCCCTCCAATATATTTTCTATTGATTTATAATAATTTTCGTTATCATTAATGGGTTTCAAGATATATATTATTAAATAAAAATAGGCTTAACAATCTCAACTCATTGTTGTTTGTAGAAACAAAGTTGTTTTTAGTTTTATTTTGAGATGCTTCAAAGTACATAAAAAAATGCGTTTTTTCAGAAGAGGAAACCTTTGTTGGCCAGCATAAGAATTAAGAGTGGTTTGAATGACATTGACCTCCCGGCACTTTCATAGGTATTCAATGTGAATGAGAACCTCGTTGTCACTGTATATCTTTAATTTCAAACCTTAAAATATTGAGTTTATGAATTTTTTTTCACTTACATGCCTCTTTTTTAACCCAACTTCATTTGATGCAAAACTTTTTCACATACTGAGTCAACTCAGCTCAACTCACACCTTGACTTTCTAATATTTTTTCAGCAAATTTAACCCCAAAAAAAGAATTTCTATCAACTCATTATAATTTTTGTTTTAATTAAAGCATTGCATTCTCTTCATATTCATATATTGGATGTGACTATAAGATGGTATACTATTTTTTAAAACATTAAATTAAAAGGCTTTGAATTGATAGACTTCAGTCTACACAAAAATAAAATGTTGTTGGTGGCCATATCAATAAGGGATCAGAGCTAAGCAAAAAGAGCACAAATAGGTAAATACACAAACTATTAAACAGAAATAAACATACACTAATCCATAAATAAATCTACAATAATTTCAAGATCAAGAGTTTAGCTACACATTGAGAGTTCAGCAAAGGAAATCAACACAACAAACCGAATAAATAATAGCCCAAGTGCAAAGGAAGCAAATTAAAGGGTCTCAACAAAAACAAAAAAGAATTCATAAAATCTCCATCTCAAGGCAAGCCTAGATCCCCATGCTCCAAAATCTCCCTTAAGCAACCCTAAGAATTTTCAAAGTGTCAAAATGACGACTGATTTTGAAGGTAGCTCCATATGTCCTCAAAATCCTAAATTTTCCTTTGGTTAAGTAAAATTACACGTCTTGCTGGTTGTTAATGGCAAAAGTCACAACCTTAAATCTCTCTAGAATTGCGCCACTTTAGAACCAAAGTCACAAATTTAAGTGATTCTATCCACCTTCTTATTTTTGCCAAAACTATCTTCTTCATATATTTCTCTTGATCTTTCTTCTTTCTAAGCAGAGCTTTCAAAGCTTCCCCGAATGTTTGGAATAATAACTTAATTCCTTAACCAACTTGATGACCCTACAACAAGATAACAAAAATTAAACCTAAAATACTCAAAACCAAAAACTAAATATGTGCAAAGTAAGTAATGGTGCGCAATCTAAAACAAGAATGCACATTTTTTTTTAACTCTTGAATATTTAAAATATATACAAGTATGCCAATTAATTGTATAAAAAAATTCTAAAAAAATGTGTTCAAAATGACGTAAAATCCTAGATGTTAACAATATTGTATTCCAGTCAAAAAAATTGTATCAATCCAAATATGAGATACTCCCTCCTTGCTTTTTAGAAGTCTATTTTATC